TGTGTGTGTGTGTGTGTGTGTGTGTGCACGTACGCGCGTGCGCAGGTGGGGGCAGTATATGTGTTTGTGTGTAGGCAGGGGTAGTGTGTGTGTGTATTCATAGGGTGAGTCCCAGACACATGCCCCACCATACACATGCACCCACACATCCCCTCACAGTGTCCTACATGCAGCGTGTGTGTGTGTAGGCAGGGGTAGACTGTGCATGTGCTGGTAGAGGCAAAGTGTGCGTGCGTGTGTGCGTAGGCAGGGTTTTTTAAATCAAATTAATGAATGTTTTAGATGTTCGCTTTTTAGAAAATAATTTGGTATTTTTCTGGTTCTGAGGTGGCTAAATCCCTTGCTGAAAAGAGTACTTCCCAGGGCAAGGGGGAGCAGAGGGGGAACTTCTGGTGGCAAAGGTTAGGGGGTGGGGCTACCCTTGTCCTCGACAGCTTGCCAAAAGTCAGTAAGTGGCCCTCTGCCCGATATAATTGCCTCCTCCCCTTTCTAGATGCTAGAAATGAAGCACCCCTTTTCTCTTTTCTACCCACATGCCCCTTGTTATACAACATAGTATTTCTGATTTAGGGATTTTCTTTGGCAAAATTGTCAAATGGTTCCTCCTTCCTTTGCTTCCTAATAAGCTCCTTACTCTGTGGTCTTCCAGTGGTAGGCGGCCTCCTTTCCGCTCACTTGCTATCTAAGAAGGCTGGTACTGAAGTGGAACCAGGGTGGCCGTGCTCAGGTCCTCTCTTGAGAATGGCAGAGGAAGCAGCTCGCAAACTTCTACCTGGTAAGAAATTTCTCCATGTTTTTGACCAGCTAGCCATGCTTTCTTGCTGGATTAACATATTTTCTCAAATACAGGCTGACTTGTACTTTGAATTCAAGATGACCTCCCAATTATTAATTCTATACATGAAAAATTATAAATTTGTTAACATTTTCTATGCATAGAATCTAATTAGTGGATGGTCATCTTAAATTAATCCTCCTAACTGCTGTGGTGGCAGGGAATGAGGGGCAACACCTTGTCCTCTCTGTGCCTATGCGCTACTATATGTTCTTCCATGCCTGTGCTTCATTTTGCCCTCTGTCCCACTCCCTCCCTTGCTCCCAACCTCTTACTTTCTGATGCAGCTCTGCTGCTTAGGGCAGTCAGCAGCAGCAGTGGCAGCCAGAGGGATCAGAACTGGAGCAGAAGGTGATGGGGCAGCTGAGGAGAGGGAAGGGGGCAGAGGGATAGGCTGGGGGGCCAGGGGGTAGACATCAGGTTCTTCTCCCCCTGCACCCTCATCTGCAGTCTCCCTTGCACTCCCTCCAGTTGTATGCCCTCTCCCCTGCCAAATGAGCCATTCCAACCAGGGGCCCAGCTCTGACTTCAGTCCCAAGCCCTGGGCCAAAGCTGGACCTGAGCCACCACCTGCTTGGGCTGGTACTTGAATCCAAGTGTGGAGGGGACATGTAGAAGACCTCATGTTGGATTAAAGTAAATATGGTATGTGTTCAGGGGACTACAAATGTTATTGCTTCAGTAGTTTAAAAAAACTCTTAATAAAAAAATCCCCAGATCATGGGGCATAGAGCAGGGCAAAGCTTAGCAGACTGTATTACAGAGATCTGCTGATGTACCAGGGCCTACTTACTCGCAGTACAGATGGGTGAAATGAGCCTAGTTCCTCATACATCCTTTGCTATCCACATGGAAGCTTTGTAGGTTCAGAAACAACTGTAGGTTGATGGTTGTAAGTAGTTTACAGACTCTGAAGGGTTGCTTAAGGCAAAACATAGCAGATGACAATCTGATCTTCTGAAAAAGCTGGCATTAAGTATGTGTATGATGCAAGTAGGTACTGCTATACAAATTGCCAATTGCGAGGCCTTATGAGGGAGGATAAGGCAAGATGCCGCGTTTATTGATTAAGCGCGCACACACACACACACACACTCACTCACTCACTCACTCACTCACTCACTCACTCACTCACTCACTCACTCACTCACTCACTCACTCTCTCTCTCTCTCTCTCTCTCTCTCTCTCTCTCTCTCTCTCTCTTTCCTTCTGTCCTGGTATATGTTACCAGTCTTATCAGTACTCGGATCAACATAGTGGCCAGCCAAGTTGATCACAAGTAGGAGACGGAATCCTGCCGGTCGATCTCATCATACGAACCAATGCTCCAGGATGACATGCAGAACAAGCCCCAAAATTGATCCCATCTTTTATAGCTTTGTCAGTTCACCCAGTCCTCTGGGCTTTTGCTGGGTTATCGCTATGTTCTTTCTTGAAAGTCGATTGCCGTTGTTCTCTCGCTGTTCTAGGGTGGATTCTTCTTGTTTGGTCTTTTATCTGTCTGCATTCTTCAGCCACACTCTCACAGACACTCTTTCACACATACAGCATACAAAGGTCAAGCACTTATGTCAAGTTACAGAGCAATACAAAATGGAGTTTCTTAAGGCAATGCAAAACTCAAGAAAATACATAAGATTAAAAACAGGCAAAAAGTCTATGTGTATAACAGTATACCACAGATGTGTACACCCTGCTGTGTATTAACTCTTCCATATAAAAGACTAGTAAAAGAATGTTTGGGAGGGGAAATGGAGGAGATGGGAGAAGTGTAACTTTCTCATCTCATTGTGGGATACCATTCATTGTAGTACTGATTTTTAAAGTGGCTCCTTCATTATGTAGGTTGGACTATGTTCACTTAATAATGATTCTTGCAGATCATTGCGTGGGCCACTGTCACTAGATTGTTTATCGTGTGCAATAAGGGAAGCAGGTACCCACAACTGCTGTGTGGAAATGCTCTATAATTGCTGTCCAGCACTTTGTTTCTTGTATTCTAGATCAGCAGTTCCCAACCTCTTTTGTACCAGGACCCATCTGTAAATATCAATGGCCAGTCCTGACGCAGTGCCCCTCACTCTTGACTTGCTGCCCCAGTTCCCAGCCCCCCATGTGTGGGGCATAGAACTCTGCCAGCTTTAAAGTTTGTTTGTGAACCTTTCATATATTGTTGTGACCCACTTCTGGGCCACGACCCACAGGTTGAGGAAATGCTATTCTAGTTTACCCTGCCTAAGCCTCTGTGGTGGGGTTTCAGTGTCACTGTTTAGTCCATGAGTGGGCAAAATACAGCCCACAGGCCAGATTTGGCCCACCAGGCTGTTTTTTTTCCAGCAAGCCAGCAGGCAGGTGCCCACCAACTAATTGTAGCCAGTCCTTTCCATAGCTGCCCCTGCCCTTCCACATGAGACCCACTCCTGCCAGGGCAGTGAACTGTGCTCTCACACTCACCTGTGGGAGGGCCCCGCCCCTGGCTAGCGCACAACTTCTGCGTATGCCTGCTACTGATATGGCAGCCAACCAGGGAACTGCTCGGCTCCCCTGGCCTGCAGTGGCTCCTTCTCCTGCCCCTGCTGCAGCACTCTGGGCAACAGGTAGGGAAGCTGCAGCTAGGCCAGAGCATGGGGCTGGTGGAAGTGCAGAGCTTGGGGCTAAGGCTGGTTGGAATGCAAGGCCCACACCTGACAGGTCAGCAGGCACTCAGAGCCTGGATCGGTGGGAGCATGGGACCCATCCCCGCCAAGCCCATCCCAGCCCAATTCCATCATGCGAGGCTCCCTGTAGCTCGTGCGGCTCCTGTGACTCAGGTGCCACTGAGGGGAGTCCTGTGCATCGGAGCCAGTAGCCTTCCCTGCTCCCTGTTGCCATTTGCAGCTCCCAGGACTCTGTCGGGAGTGGCAGGGAGCCCTGCATGATGGAGCTAGGCTGGCTCAGCTCTGCTCCCTGCCACACACACGATATATAAGAGTAAGACTTTATTTTGAGCTATTATGCAACCACCTCTATATGCACTATGCAAACACAAAAATCAGGACAATTTTTTTTTTTTAATAAAAACATATATGTTATAGTGGATGCTTGATT